GGTGTTATTTGATTTTCGTGTTAACTTGTAATTTCGTTTGTCGCCGGCATCTACTGTTCTTTCACAGGAAAAACACACGATACGAAACGTAATGATCAATTTTGTCCTCAATCTCACGCCGTAACAGAAAAAGCTTTTGAACATCTGTAAACTCCGAGCGCTTCGCAGTAAGTGATATTTTCAATGAACCTTCGGATCCTTTTCAAGTTCAAGGATTGTAAATTACAATTTTATGAAAAACGAAGGCTGTTCTGTTATTTCAGTGTGAATCCTTGCATGCCTGCCAGCCGCTGGCGCCGCTTGTTGAAACTAAAACGAAAAAAAAAATTATTTTAAGACTATCATTGGCTTCTTTGTCACCCCACCACTATTCTTAGCAACATCGTTTCTTACTGATGGACATTTCGGAAGCTTGAGAAACTTTTTCTTGGTTTCTAACAAAGCCATGAAGACTTTGACCACAAAGAAATCGATCATATGGTCAGAAAGGCCATATGATACGTTACTCTGTGTAGTCGAGGTCTTCATGGTATGTTAGAAACCAAGAAAAAGTTTCTCAAGCCTATGAAACGTCCGTGAGTAAGAAACGATTACATACCAAACGAACAACGCTTCATTTTTTTTTGTCTGAAACGGAGAACGCTTCCCTTTGTTGTTAGAAACGAACAACGCTTTTAGAATCGTTACTCAAACATATTTCAATTCCGAGCATAAGATCGATTTCTGTGTAGTCGAAATCTTCATGGTATTGTTAGAAACCAAGAAAAAGTTTCTCTAGCTTACGAAACGTCCGTGAGTAAGAAACGATTACATACCAAACGAACAACGCTTCAGTTTGTTGTTGGAAACGAGCAACGTTTCCCTTTGTTGTTAGGAACGAATAACGCTTTAAGAATCTTCATGGTGTTGTCGGAAACAAAGAGCGCTTTAGTGATAAAAAATTTCTCAACGCTATAAACTGCTTATTTACTGTCTGAAATTCTGATCCTTTTAGTATTTGTTTCTTCGGGTGACTTGATTTTTTTTCGGGCGACATCACTAGAATTTCCTGTTTTGCTCAGCGAAGAAAAAATGGAAACTTCCACCCGATTTCTGTCGGGGAAAATTGGAGGTTGAAAGAGGATACATTACGAAAGAGAAACCTGGAAAAGTCGAAGATGCATTTGTGTTTCGAATTAACGAGACGAACTCCATGTTCAGGAAAACAAGAAGATTGTAATGACTGGAGTAATATAACATTTTCAGACCACGACTCTCGACATCATGAACGCATCATTTGTCTCATTTTTTTTCCTTTTGGTTGCATGAATTTATTCGATATGTACTACAGTAAACTGTAAATTCATGTTACACACCGCTTATTTTCCCTGCGCGAAACTGAACGCTCTCACCTAAATGACGTTACCAAGAACACAAGAAATGAAGCGACGAACTAAGATGCAAAGAAGGAAAAAAACAACTGAAACCAAAAGGAAAAAAAAAAGAAACAAATGATGCGTTTATGATGTCGAGAGTCGTGGTCTGAAAATTTAAAAATAAACCCGGTTGTTTCCTTCAGAGAAGCTGCTTAAACCGATGTTTGTCGACTTTAAATTTAGCGCAATTAAAATACAAGTTAGTGACTACTTGACAGCTAGGGAAAATTCAGTTTTCCTGTTCACCTCAGTTTCTGGTTTTCTTTCAATTCAAACCGGTTTAACTAAACTCGTATTGCTGGTGTTTTGCCCAGCTCAGCGAATATTGCCGGGTATCGGAACTTGTTATCAGTTAAAAAGCTAAGTCCTGTTGTATTTGCCTCAGCATTGTGGTATCAAAATATATTTTTTCGTTTTGGCAACTGCGCTTTATTACTATATCAAGGAAATATCTTTTGACTATATCTAGTGGGCTCAAGCCTTTTTTAAATTATGGTGACGAGTTCTTGGACAAGACATTTTTAAATGTGACATTTTGAAAATATAAATCTTACTGTGCCGATCTCCAGCTAAGGTTATGAATAAGTATTATTACCAATTACTCTGGTTTTATGTGTGAGCAACAGCTCTCCGTTTAGGAAGAAAAGAAGTACGCTTTGAAAATTGCTATCAAATATGTTAAACCGTGTTTACCTATAAGTAGTTAGTATGCAGATTCAGTTTATGCAGATGATTCATCATATTGGACTGAGAAGTAATTTACAACGGGTCGTTCAGTGTGTGTTCTTTTTCGAATAAGTCGAGGGTTGTGGGTGGCAGTTAACCGAAGCGTTGTGGTAAAATCTTTAAATCAAGTGAATAAACCATGGGTTTATTCACTTGAAGAAAGCGTGGCACAGCTGTTTCACGTTTTCAACAACATCCTTTCATCTGAGTAACTTTACAATAGCCCAAAATTTAAGTCCACGAAATATACTGTACTGCTCTAGTAGTCGTCTCGTACTCAAAGAAAGTAGGGGCAACTGGCTCCTAATTAGCAAACACAAAGCTAATGAAATTCGTCTCCTACCTTTTATAAAGCGTTTCGCCCTCAGGAGGAGTTCTAAAATTTGTCTTTTATTGGACCTGCGCAATGTGTGACCAGGTGTTACTGAGGATAAACAAGACGCCTGCAAGAACTGTTAAGTAACTGTTAATGTTCGTATAGATTGATGTTGCATAAGTGTTATATAAATAGCCCTAACATGGGATGTCGATGTCCCTGTTAGCGGAACTCGAAACCTATTTATAATTGAGCAACGAGTTGTGTTACTCCACCTAATGCTGAACAGAATGACGTCAGAGTTCCGTTTGGGTTTCTTGGAAGGTCTAACTTAAACTTCCTTTAATGGTGGTTATTTTTTCAATCTTGGATATCCATGAATGCCCTGATTTCATTCTCTTACGCAAACATTCCTTCATTGTCTTTGTAGCTCGTTGAACCGCCAACTGATAGTCTTTTATGTTTTTGTTAGCGTTGTAGGGAAGACTGTGGGCTTGTTAAAACGTACCAACTTGTTTCAGTTAATCGGCTATCATAAAAAGGTACTTTCGAGTATTCTCAGTGGAAGGACAGCACGTAATCTCAGAGTTCGTGGTTTAGTAAAAGAAAATCTGAAGATCATATCAAACTACACGACGTAACTTCCATCCATTAAACGTTTTTTTTTTCCTTTTTTTTTAAAGAGCTGCTATAAAACACGAAATGTTTTCGTTCCGTTTGGACGAGCTTAGCGGAGGTCATCATCGCGGTCGAGTGATTATATTGACGACTTTCGCTAATTAGTGATCACACCTCTGACACCGCCGACTTATTCCTATGTACTGACGTAACTTACTTTCATTACGCACAACGCATTACAACATATACATTCCGCACAAATGTTGTAGAATGCTGGGAAGATGAGAGATACAATTTTAGGAATAAACTTCTGTGTGAGCGCTTACCAGGGCATGTTTCAACTTGGGAGGTAAATAAAGAGCTTAATTAAACATGACATTTACAGCTCAGAAGTAATCAGCATTTAGCCAATTTACCCACCGTTTGCACAGTCGAATGGGATATTTTTTAGTGGCTTGGAAATAGTATATTTTGTTTGTCCTTAAAAACATGGGAAGCAAGAACCAAGGCACTTTTTCTATTCAGCTTTGCTATATTTAGTTAACGCTGTGGTTAGCATTAAGCTCACTATTTTCAGTCAAGAGTTTGAGCACACGTGATTTATGATAATGAATGAAACTTTGCCTTGTGCTCTTTGCTGAGAGGTGAATGTTAAATGCAAGGCAGCGGTCTCGCTAAGTATATGTTTAGGTTCTGATGTGTCATTTCAATTTTCCTTGCAATTCCATTCCCATTGGCTTTACCTCTCATTTTCCCCGGAGTTTTCGTTTTCAGAAGTCAAATCAACGAACTGTGGATACGCAAACAATGAAATTAAATTCAATTTAAGCTCTACAGAAATTTTCGGGAACTTTGTACTTTTCGAAATATCAAGGATGCGCTTAATTGCGACCGGTGTTCTTTGAAGTATCTGAGAGTTTTTTTCTATTGTGTTTTTTAGATGTTCTTCCATTGATACTATGATAGTATTGTAACAATTTTAAATTCGAGTATAAAAAGTTGCCGCAGAATTAATCTCTTCTATGCGGAATTGTTTATCCAGCTTAAACCGTGCGATCACAACATAGTAAACAGTTTTGGATTCGGAACGCATTTATAATTAAGATTAGAAACGAAGGAGGAATAAAACAATAATTGAAAATTCATCCACTCAATGAAAAACTGGAATTTGATTTTTATGTTAGTGTGCAACTGATATAAATTGCTGACATACTAATAAAGCAGCTGACTTTAGGACATTTAATTAAACATTTGTTAAAAGAGTTGAACTATACTTGTAATGCCCATTTAATCGAAAGACAAAACGTCTTTATACAAGAGAAATAACTCTGTTGAAACAATTCCAATTGGATGGAATTTGGATTTTCAACCTTAACATATTGCCACAGATCAAGTAATTTTGCAAATTATGAATGAAGGGAGTGGGTTCCTCAAGAACCTGTGATGCTGCGTCGTTGCATTGGGGGCGGAATTACAAAATTATAGACTAGGTTGAAATGTTAATTGGCCACTATAGACAGTTACTAAAGCTAACCTATCGAGCGTGAGACTTCGTCAGAGCGAATAACGAAGGGCTAACGCTCGAAACGTCATCTTTAGAAGCTGCACGATGGGCAATTTACATAACCAACTCAGTTGTTAAACCCAAATTATCGTGCAATATGTGATTTATTTGCTTTTACGTTACTATGAATATATATGTTTAGGAGTTCTAATATTATCTTTTTAACAAGTCATTCTGTTTTTGACGACATCTTTCAGCTGTTGAAACGAAAAACGATCTGTATATCACTCGATAATAATTTTTCATTTCCATAACAATCAAACCTCATTGGATGTACTGTGTGATATTGAAGTCTTTTCGGTTCTTATTTACTTAGCTGCGGTGATAGCAGCTACAGGCAAAATTACGTGGATGCGTCTTTTAGTTATGTTTCGAATTTAGACTTAGACAGTTCAAGTTTTTATCCGGCAAAATGTTACCCATTGCTCTGTTATGCGTATTGGCCATTTTCTTCCCAGTTTCACAAGGGAATAAGTTTGAAGATCTTTCAGAAAAAGAAGGTAATGAAATTGATCTCTTTATGTTATTGGCTAAGGTTTTGAAACAATTTAAAGCTAAATCGATTTAAAGAAATTATCTGTTCTTTAGCCAAAGTTTTCAAATTGTGATCTATGCCTCAGCAATTCTTAGTGGTCAAAATAATTTTATCCTATTTTCATTTTCCTGTTCTAAACGTTATTTCAAAATGGAGACAATTAAGTATGACACAAATATTCAATTCCTGGTGATGCAGAATACATGATTGGCTTGATAAATGTATGTTTTGTCTTTGCCGAGCAAATCGTCGGCGATAATTTGGTTTTATTGAAGTTCTTCGCTATAACGAAGGGCTAATGCTCCAAATGTCATCAGCTTTCGAAACTCTCCATGGTGGACAATTTCCTTTCTCAACTCGGTTGGTAAAGCCAGATTATCTTGTTATACTCCTCAACGACGTAGCTCCACAGTTTTTTTAAAAGACTTACCCCACTTAAATCATCAGAGACTCTTAGCGAACTCGTCAAACTTGGCGCTTGAAGTCGCACTAGCGTCAGAAAAGGTGGCAATCTAGTCTAATCTGGTGTAAAATGTTAAGAGTTTATGACGCTTGGCTGGCGTTAGGTAGTGCTCCTTTTTCACTTGATTCAAGTTGTTCAACGGCTTTTTACAGTATTGGGAATCCTTCAGTTGTTGCAGAATAGGAATTGGGTGCCATCTTTTTTACGCTAGCAGGACCTTAAACGCTATGTTTGACGAGGAATCCTATACATCAGGCTAGTCTAATATTATACCTTGTAAACGTTTTAAACATTTTCGTCTGATTTTGTGACAGAGCCATTTTTTTTTTAACAAAAAATTTGAAAAAACCATGTTGAAGTAAATAGTAATGATCAAAATATGACATAAATACTCATTGGTTTAACATAATGTGAACTAAATTATCTGATACCAAGACATTCTCTAGACAAGCAATTCATTGAATCGTAATATAAAAATAAACTTCATAATCAGTAGAGTTCTATTTTTCAATGCCGAAATTAATTTTCAAGATGCAGCAGGTTTATCGATAAATCTTTACATTTTTAATTTAAAAAACTAACAAAAAAGAGTGTAAACATGAAGAGGTGGTTTTATAGGTGGCTTGCATGGTCACGTGTGGTTAAGCATATCAAGTTTTAAATTTCTTATGGATGTTCCATTTTCATTTTGAATGTCATTTAGATGTCTCTAAAGATGACTTGATGCTATTAAAGGAATTCAAATTGAGAGAAAAAAGAGGAGGTGGGTTTATTTTTGTTAGTTTTCGAATGGTATGTCAAACCCTGTCAGTTAAAAAAGAGTTCACGTTCCTGTACGAGTTTTCATGCATCCGAAGGTAGATTCCAGAACTGCGTAGTTTTTTGCGTACATAAAACGTGCGTAAATAAAGCGTGCGTAAAGAAAGCGTACGTTAAAGGAAAATCAATTTACGCGCGAAAAATGCGGGCTCATGCGTCAAAGTGGAAGGCTGTTTACCTTTCTCTGCACTTGCGCGATTGCGGCATGCACGCGAAAATCTTGAAAAAACGTGCAAGTGGAAATATAACAACAATTTCTCACCTATTTACGTGGGTAGACAAAAACGTGACAGTGGAAATCCAGCTTAAGTCCGTCTACGCAAGCGTGAACGAGAAACCGTGAACGAGAAACACGTGCACACATCGTATACGTGTGGCATGCCTGTGCATTCAGTTTAAGTTTTTGGCAGCAGAAGTTAAAAAACACATATATAAATATATATATCTTTACAGTGCCCATTACATAACGTTTAACAGTGTTTCTCTAATGTTAGTCATTATCATTGAATTCATTTTTAGTTTGTAAGGACGAAAGCGCATACTGTGATTCATATAAGAGTTACTGTAACGACCCGTTGTACAAAGATTATCTGAAGGAAAACTGCAAAAAGACCTGTAACTTGTGTGGTAAGATTTTAATGTTCTGCCGAAGGGGGGAGGGGAGGGTAAAGTTTAAACAAACGGTATATTTTCTTCTTTACTTGTAGATAGAACCTTTGGATCAATGCCAGTATCTAAGCAACTGCCCACATACCCCTCCCCTAACCCAAAAACAGTCAACAGATAACAAGTTAGGGTTAATGTTGTTCAGATACTGACATAATCGAACCTTATGGAAAACAAATTAGTAAATGCCTGAAACCAATTTGACTGCCAAGAGATACAAATTTCAAACAGTAGCAAGTTTCCGATAATTCCCTTCAACAGATTTATCCCCTCAGGATTTCTCTTATCAACAATATGAAAACTTTAACGGTTTTTGTTTTCCATATTTCATTTCTTCGCTTACAAAAAAGATTCATCGATAGCCCATGTATGGGGTTTTAACTCCTAAAATAACAGATATAACCTCTTGAGCGAGATTCTGAGAATCCTTGTCTTTAAAACATGGAAAAATATTTCTTGCCCTTGGTCGTAACATCAACTTGACAATTCGTTGATGGTCATACTTCAACATTTACGTTTATTCTCGACTTCTGGAAGGTTCATGTCTAACTTTTGTACGCGTTGCTGGCCTACTTTTTAGTTAGAAAAATGGACTACAAAGTTAGGCGACAAAACTGACGTCTGAATAAGGTGGGGTTTGGGTGAATATGAAAAAAAAGTAAGAAAGAACGATAAAACAACGATTCCCAAACGTACCTTGAAAACCTAAATCACATCCAATCATCCTAGAAATCAATGGTATATTATTACTTACGATCAGGCTTGTTGGAGGAACTAAGAGAATTTCAATCCATTTTAGGAAAAGAATGCGCTGACTTGATGGACTGCGAAATATACAAAAACTATTGCGATCATAAAGACTACAGTAAATCATTGAAATATTATTGTAGAGCAAGTTGCGGTTTTTGTAAAGGTAACTACCTCATACTAATTTATTAGTTAAACTCTTATGTCTTTGGATTTATCCGTATCTTTTACACTTTTATCATTTGTTTTTCCTTTTGCTCTCATCCTTCGGTTTTGTCCTTTTTATAAAACCATTTACTAATAGTTTGTGCGTCCCTCTGCTCAGCTTTTGCTACGTTCCTTTAGTTCTTCTCTGCTTCATTCCGTCATTCCCTCTTTCCCTTGTTTCGTGGTTCCTCTACTTCATTGTTCTTAAATCACATCATACCCTCCTGTCTTTTTCTTCGTCTTTTGTTTCTCACTGTCGATAATACTTCAAAAACGTTTCCCTCCCATTTTTTAACTTATCGCTCGACGCGGCTGAACGTCTCGTTTAGAGCTAGCAACTGATCCTTTCTATAAAATCGCTCTTTTTTAGTTCCAACACCCGCCCCGCCAGCAACAACTCGTCCACGGACGGACCAACCAATTGATCAAGGTGAGCTGGAGCCTGGTACAGTCTTTCTTATAAAAAAGCATCCGTTACGTATTCAGTTGTTTTTCCATGGTTTACTTGAAGTCCAAATCTCACTAAATGAATTGATTATCGGGTAACGAATCAGCTCTCTCGTTTGTATTTACTGATCTATTTTTATTTACCATTTATTTGTTTATTTTGACTTTTCTTCCTCTCAAAACTTTTAACATCTTGATCTATTCTTCCCATGCTTATCAAATTAACGCGCAAGCGCAGAACTTTCGTTTGTCAGGATGCAGCTGAAAAAGATCATGGTTTTAAAGTCATAGTCAATAACCGTAGTTGTTCGTATCTTCCCTCTCTGTCAGGGAATAACTGAATGATAATCCCACACCTTTTTACACTCAGGGAATGTCGAGTGCGGCACAAGGAACTTAGGAAACAGAATAGTTGGGGGCACTAATGCTAAACCAGGGGCTTGGCCGTGGCAAGTAACAATGGACTATAAGGGACATGCTGAGAAACCCCACTGGTGCGGAGGCTCAATTGTGTCGCCTCAGTGGGTTGTGTCAGCGGCTCACTGTTTCGCGTATGGCGATGATCCTAATCAGTATACTATCGTAGCAGGTATTTTGCAGAACTCGTTTCAGTTCAGACCTGTTCTGTAGGAGTTGCAGTTCAGGCTGTCACAGAATGGTCTGAGGGCTGGCAGAGAGTTAAAAAGCAGACAGTCAATTTCGCGTTAAAAACGACATCTCATATATAGCTAGTGTGTTTGAAATCAATGCATTATCAAAAGAACTCTATGACATTCTAAAATCCTGCGACTACTCCGTGTTACGCAGAGGGATTTTTTCAAAGGCTACTAAGATTTGATACAGAAGTACTCTCCTTGCCTCTAAAATAGTACAACACTCAAAAGATTGAATTCTTTTATCCTCAGTGGCTTCTTACCCTTAAGGTTTTAACTGAACCAGTTACAAATAGTGTTTACAGAAAGTTGTGAGCCAACATTTCGCCGACAGTCATACTCTATAGCAAGCTTGCGCGAAAACAAGCTAACATTGGAGTTGTGACAGTGTCACGGAAATTATTCGACCTATCTCGAGTTTGCCAAGGGTCACTCGTTTCGTTAAACTTGCAAGGTTAAAACCGAGGCATTGAGGTTCGAACATTTCACGAAAAATTATCGACATTTTTCCAACTTTGCTGAGAGTCGCTAATTCGTCAAGCTTACAGAGTAACATCCATCGATTCGGAGTACAAAGATTTCGCGAAAACTTCTCGACCGTTTCCGTTGTTTCTGAACAGGGGATCATGATCTGAACGGGAAAGAGGGATATGAGCAAAACATTCCAATCGAAAAAATCATCAAGCATCCGAGCTACGCTCCGCATCAAAACGAGGACTACGACTTGGCTCTTATTAAGCTCCAGTCTCCACTCACTTACAATAGACGCGTGAGGCCTGTGTGCTTGCCTAAGTTTGACTTTGGCGTTGGAACCCAATGTTTCGTCACAGGCTGGGGCCATACGAAAGAAGGAGGGGACATCCCGCAGGTAAGTGGAACTTGATATGAAGAGAAATTCTCATAAAGTATTTTAAAGATTTCTTCAGGGACGCGATTGAGAGTTGAGTTTTTTATCATGAAGATCATATCATCCTCATCTAGTAGATGATATAAACTAATGGGGCTTTTTTCTTTCTAGGAGAGGGTGATGAATATTCCACTTGCGTACTATTAGGCTATCTACGAAAAGTTTTTGCAGAAAAAATAGCCAAATTTGTCTATTTTGTTTTACATTTTTAAGTAATAAGCTTATTTCCAAATATTTAATTTACTACCCAGCTTATAAGTAACTACTTCAAATACGAAATTTTTCAATTCACCTTCCCTCCCCCCTTTGTTCGGTGTCCTTAAGCAAGACTACTCAATCTCCCCCCCCCCTCCTTCCCCTCCCCAAGAATAGAAATGGGTAGCGATAAAATGTTAACGAGGCTTGAAGTGAACTTTATGTCGTGCAAATTTGTTCTAAAATCGTACTTGTGATTTCAAATTAAACTCGCGCTGCGGTTTCCTTCGATTTTGAAACCATTTGTATGACGACTTATCTGCCCTCCACTCAGTTCATTTACCTTTATCTATCCCCCCCTGCTCCCACCTTACTAATGAGGCCGGCCAAATGCCCCTCTATAGCATCTAGTTTATTGGTAAGGTATGACATATTTGGCTGTTTGGTACAACAGATTCTACAACAAGCTAAAGTACCTCTAATCTCAAGAGACTCTTGCCAATCCGCCTATCAAGACTTGGGCTATACTATTTCACCGCGCATGCGCTGTGCAGGGTACGCCAAAGGAGGGATTGACGCTTGCCAAGGAGATAGTGGAGGACCGCTGGTGTGCTCTAAGAATAAGAAGTGGTATTTGATAGGCGCGGTGAGCTGGGGAATAGGCTGCGCGCGCAAGGGTCGATACGGTGTGTACGCTGACATGACGGATCTGAAGTACTGGGTGCAAGACACAATCAATAAGAACTGACATATCTGAAGGTTTCCAGAAGTAGCAGTTGTTACAGATATTTAAATGAGTTGAGCCACTGCTTACGTGAAACCAAATTGATTTACTCTTAGAACCACGTAAGTGTTACCTACTCCTGTCAGAGAAATAAAAGGTGATACAATGTGTGTTTGATTGATTGACTTCTTCATTGCTTAATGAGGTGACAAATGTCTAGTTTCGTTATTTGTTAGATATCATAATCTACGATCTACAGCATTTAAGAGGTTTCATTAAAATGTTCGTTGCTAGTTTCTCCTGCCGTCCCCTCTCTGTATTTTTTACTTTTCTGACTCCTTTATCCACTGAATAGAGAAGTCCAATGTATCACTTTCGTCAGGATTTCTTTCTAATGAAAACTACCTCTTTCCTCTTTGACATTTTTTAAAAATAAAGTTGAAACGTTAACTGATGCAACATGTAACCGGTAATCAAACAATAGAAATTTGATAACAGTAGCATATCTATTAAACTCATTGTACTGTCGCGGACATGGCTTTAAAAACAACTTTACTGAATTTTTAACTGCTCTTTCCACAAGTTAATTTTTTTTACATAATTATAACAAAGGACATTTGTTTTAGCAAAGCAAAATGCCGGCCAATGGCAACATGAAAGAGAAAAGTTTAGCAACTAACTGTTGGATTAAGGCTTAAGCAGCAATGGGAGAGGATGGGAGGACTGGGAAACCCTCGAGTGCCTTTGATTCCCTTCTGGAAACATCTCAGGGAGTAGAAATGCAAACCCAATGAAGCCTCATTTTAAACGCAAAATTGAAAATCGTTCGGGCAGGTGCTACCTGTGAGTTTAAGATAGGAAATCGTCAAAGGAAAAGTCTTTCAGAAACGGATATTTTTTCATCTGCTCGGTGACCCGCTGTTTTTGTTCTTCAGTCCAAACAATTTTATTTCTTGTGACAGAAGGAGCTCCATACAAGATCTTACTGCATTTTTCTATGTATTCCTCTGAACATGTCACACCTAAATGGACACATAATTTTTGTAGTGTTTCTTTCGGTCTGAGTATTGTTTCATGTCCTGGAATATCGATAACTGCATCCCCAAACCTTTCTCTGACGCGCTGGCTAGCCTTTGTAAGGTTGAAGTAGAGCTCGATCCAATCCTCCAAAATCACTGATCCGTTCATCTTTTAGTGACAAATAGAAAAAAATGAAAACGATAACGACATTGATTATGATTGTGATAAAAATAACGAAAATGCAGAGACAGAAAACGAAGACACGAGGTTTTGATAATTCATGACATCATATGCAAATCCAATTCACTAATTGTCTTATTATGCATTTTCTAAACAATGTACCAAAGAAAACACTTCTCTCTGAGTTTGCAAAAGTTTGAGAACCCCACATGGTCGAGGGGCTTGGAAACTAGGCAGGTTTTTTAACTCCACATGATAACTACAATATCCGCTGCCGATATTGGGTTATCATACTCACTTCACACGCTATTGTATATCATTTAAATACTCTCAACCAATCACATTTTTTTAAAAATTCTAATGTATATCAGAAGTAATGGGCTCCTGTGTATATATAATAATGACAATGATGTTACCGTGATAATGAGAATGTTATTTGATATTTTTTCAAATATGATTTATAAACTTACTTTTGTTCCTTCTTCCCTAACATTATCACGCTCGCCTGCACCGCGAAGTACCATGGTAGCGATGTTATCAAATGGGTTCCTGACAATGTGTATGAATTTCATTGGCACTCCCACGTTTTTAGCGATTTCTTCTAACTGTTTGATACTGCTTGGGTCTTTACTTATAAGCAACGAAGTTCGTCCCCCTTTTTTGTCTCCTATCACCTAAAAGAAAAGTTGTGATAAAGCCAATACAGAAAATACGTCAAATAAAATGAGAGTGTTCGAGCTCAAATTTGAAGTGCGGTTTGGAAAGAATTTCGCTCTCTTTGTAGGTTATGCTTTTTGTTATTACGTGCAACCAAGCCATATAGAAACACAAAAAGTCCTTGTGAAACTTCAGCTTCTTATCTGGGACAACGCAAGCCTCGTTGAAATATTTTCCCAAGCAGGAACAGATTGTCACTTGTCGAAAGGTTAAATCGCTTAAAATCTTTTTCTTCAGAGTGAAAATATATTTACCATTAAGAAAGATATTAGATGAACTTATCCAGCAAAATGTGACAATTTTTAGGAACATTTATGAAAACCATTATCCAAAGACCCTTCGACTCTGAGGAAACTTAAAAAGCTGTATTCGGTTTCAAAATGCTACGGAAAGAGCTCCCGGCATGACTAATATTTTTGATACGGTCGGTAAGGGTAGGGTTTAACAGCTGACGGACCGAAAGATTTTAGAAATCGTAAAATTGTGAAGAAATTGCCCAAGTGTTATTGATTAAACGATGGGCATTGTTTAAATTGATAGGTGTATCGTTATTCATGTCTGGGCTCAAGACAATAGTTCGCTCGCTCGAAACGAGCCATTTTTGGAACGCATCTTTGACTAACGATCTCAAAATCAAAAGGATAGTAGTTCTTGTTGACCAATTTTCAAAATTAAGACGGATTCTGTCAGAGGGAAGGTGTATCAGCCATTTGACGTGCGTTGGTTTTTAGTCGGTAGTTAGGGTTTTAAGAAAATCGATCTTGAAATGACTTTCATACAAAAAGTTAGCGAATTTTGTGCAGTTTCAAGTAAAAAAGGACAATTCTTCTTCTAGAGCTCAGAAAAATGAGCTAAGTGGGATAATTTAGGGCTCATCAAAGCAAGGTCGCGTTTAAATTTGCCGCTTTATTGGTTATGAATCCTTGATGATGTCCACGATTTCTGCTCGAGAAGTTTTCAAGGTTGGCGTTTCGAGCGTTATAGCCCTTCATCAGGCTGATGAAGGGCTAAGACTTTAAATCTCGAGTTTTTACGGTGGCCAATTTACATTATAAAAATTAGGAGATATACCTAATTATCTTGTAATACCCGCCACCGATGCAGGTGCATCCTCTTTATTCTTCAGGATAAGCTTGGGCTGACTGTAGTATGTGATAGTAACCCATGAGCTATGAAAATCGTCTTCTAATCCTACCTTGATCTTGTTTTTGTATCCACCTTGCCATAAATCTGGAACATTGTATAAGTATGTAAATTCCCCGCCAAGAACTGTCCTTTTTCGGCTTGCCCGTTTTCCAAACATAGCTTGCTCGGTAGAAGTCTGGTGAAGATCAAAATATAACTTATATCTTATCAGGTTTTTTCTTTGGAACTTTGGCAAATTGTACCTTCTCCATTTTTGCAACACATTAAACTCGTGCGGAATAATTATTTCAGGATGAGCATCCAAGATGGCGCCAACCAAACTATGGCTGCTGCGAGGATAACCAATGAACATCACAAAGGTCTCCACTTCATCGTAAGCTTTAAAAAGCTTCTCTGCATAGGAAAGTGAGTGCGCTTCCTCTGAAAAAATCAAATCAAAACAGTCAGTCTTGGAGAGAAGATGAACGCATACTTGTACTGACGGAAGAGAAGGGATTGGGTGGAGATTAGACGCATCCGGTCTAGACCCAGTCTCTACCCCTTCAAATCTCACTTCAGATCGAATTATTAGCTTGAACTTTGATGATGACCTACACTAATGTTGGCGAAATGTCTGTCACCATTACCGAAAAGAGTCCCTCTTAGGACTTCCCTCGCCAAGACAGTCAGACCACACGATCAAATTGTTTGCCATATTTTCTGTGCTTCATCGTTTGCGATATTTCCATTTGGGTTTTTTGGTGAAAAAGTATTTCACAGGTACACTTGACCAATTGCAAGTTAACTTTCTGCCATCTCATATCCATATTGCATTCATGGAATATTCATTTAGTACCATCGGTATTTTTTTCGGGATGATCGCACTTACATTATCGAGTGCTGAATCACAACGGCCGCTTATTACAAACGACAAAAATATTGAGACCCTTTGGTGAACTCAATAAAGAGAAGATCTGATTTAGCCGGCCTGTAACCGGCCTCTGACTCGTGTCCGATTGGTTAAAAAGGTGGCGCAAGCTTTCTATACCAACCACAGAGCGAGGTGAATAAATACCAAATAAATCCTAACATCAGTATGTATATTCCCCTTACTGTTTGCCATAAATTGCTTATGTCAATGATGAGGAGAATTTGTTTAACGTTGAAAAGCTTCTTCTTATCGTTATTTCTTTAATTCCCATCACCTTAATGTTTGATTCAGCGGCGATACCGTGAGAAAAAATTAGATGCTAGTCACTCTTAGGGGTAAAATGATTAACAGAGGTTTTCACAGTTAAGTTCCTTTTTGGAGTTAACTTACCATTTTCTGTGAGCGTCACCGTCTCCAATACCTGCACCTCGCGTCTTCCCGATGGCGAAACTTTCTTCTCCTTAATTATCAAGCGAGTGACAAAAAAGAGGCTTGAAAGGAATCCGATCATGAGCAAAGGAAGAACACCCTTTTTCACGAACATTCTGTATGCTGCTATCCTATAACCTTAAAAGATGATATGAAGAAGTTATCAAACCTCTTGCAACTGCGATACTAACTTCTTATTAACCGAGTTTAAGGGCCGTAATGAGAAATATCGGCTCGAGGTCGTGACAGTACGGACTACGCGCAGCGAGGGCCAATAAACAAAAGAGCGTACGAGGGCCGATATCCCCCAGTATGGCTCAAGGAATCGAGCCAGCCCGCTTCGCGGAAATCTTCAGAGTGACATGTACAGAAAATACCCACCGCAGGCCTTGCAAAAAGCCCACGAGATGCTTATAAAACAGTACCGATGAGTGCTTTCTCACCAAGCACTTTCTAATCCAAACTTCCAAAGAAACGGAAACAATATCCCGGTCAAATAACTTACTGAGCTGTACTGTGATCTCCGTTGCTTTTTATATCCACCATACAGTGTAGATAGTTTTTCTTATACATCCGAATATACGCACTGTTTTGAGAGCTTAATCTAGCGACTTGCAATCCTAATTGCTTCCCACTTCCCTAACCTTCCTTGGAGAGTTGAAGTCTCCAGTCTACGCGTATGATATAGAAAATGACACATGAGTTATTTTTGAAAATAGTTTCTGGTGTCTGTTGTATGAAAAAAAAAAAAAGGCGAAACAAAAAAGAATGTCAAAAGAGAAAAAAAATATCCTTACCTCAATTTTGAGTCAATTTCTGGAATAGAAACTTCTTTGGTCAAATGTTAAATAAAGTGTCTTGAGAGATGTGACGTCGCGATCGAAGCATGCCCCCAGGGAAATGGTTTTCTTTTCGTTTCTGATGCTTAGTTATGTAAATATCATGTCTTTATCCTTATGATTTTCAAAAGCGCAGCTAAAGGAGTCGAGGCCAATTGCGAAATGAATATCATGAAGGCGTAAAAAAGCGATTGCAGACAATAAAAATGGGCTCTATTGACACATAAGTGAGCTTACTATATATTTTATAGAATAAAAGAAAAAAGAACATATACGTGACATGAAGGTGTTATTAGTTTTTGGGATTGTTGCATAAAAACCATAATTTAACCGAAAGTATGTATTTCCAATGAAGGCCAACCTTGTTTAACCTTTACCTCCTATGGGTCGAGGCCAATTGCGAAATGAATATCACGAAGGCGTAAAAGGGCGATCGCAGACAATAAAAATGAGCTCTATTGACACATAGAAGTGAGCTTACTATATTTAAAAGAATAAAAGTAAAAAGAACAATCCCAAAAACTAATAACACATGAAGGTGTTATTAGTTTTTGGGATTGTTGCATAGAAACCATAATTTGACCGAAAGTATGTAATTCCAATGAAGGCCAGCCCTGTTTAACCTTTACCTCCTATGGGTGACCAAGAGAGAGAATTTCTCCTACAATATCAAACAATCTAACAATGGCCTCAGAGAAGCGATTAGTATTAATTACAAAACTTTGTACTTCGCGAAAAAAAAGCATGGTTGACGTTGTAATTTAAAGTCAAAACGTTAATGTCGATAGAGAAAAATAATATCCTTACCTCAATTTTGAGTCAATTTCTAGAATAGAAACTTCTTTGGTTAAATGTTAAATAAAGTGTCTTGAGAGATGTGACGTAGCGATCGAACCATGCCCCAATAAAATGGTTTTCTTTTCGTTTTTGATGCTTAGTAAGGTAAATATCATGTCTTTATCCTAATGATTTTCAAAAGCGCACCCCTCAGCTAAAGGAGTCGAGGCCAATTGCGAAATGAATATCACGAAGGCGTAAAAAAGCGATTGCAGACAATAAAAATGGGCGCTATTGACACATAGAAGTGAGCTTACTATATATTTTATAGAATAAAAGAAAAAAGAACATATACGTGACATGAAGGTGTTATTACTGAGTTTTTGGGATTGTTGCATAGAAACCATAATTTAACCGAAAGTATGTATTTCCAACGAGGGCCAACCTTGTTTAACCTTTACCTCCTATGGGTCGAGGCCAATTGCGAAATGAATATCACGAAGGCGTAAAAGGGCAATCGCAGACAACAAAAATGGGCTCTATTGACACATAGAAGTGAGCTTACTATATTTAAAAGAATAAAAGTAAAAAGAACAATCCCAAAAACTAATAACACATAAAGGTGTTATTAGTTTTTGGGATTGTTGCATAGAAACCATAATTTGACCGAAAGTATGTACTTCCAATGAAGGCCAGCCTTGTTTAACCTTTACCTCCTATGGGTGACCAAGAGAGAATTTCTCCTACAATATCAAAACAATATCGACTATAGAAGTGATGACAAGAAAGCATATTATCAATTAGGGGATTATTAGTTGATCCAATACCAAATTTTCCTAATTGACATCGTAAGAATTGTATGTCAGACAGTTAAGAGAATTACTAATGAGATCTTAGGAGTTTTTTATTTTTTTATTTTATTATTATTTTTTTTTTAGTGAAACATATTTATCATTGTTTTCCCCCAAAACACCTAGGCTTAACGAGGGGGATTACAATATTTCAAATATAAAATCAATTTATTCGGGCTTACACACAAACAGACACATAACCGACACACACAAGTTGCAATAGCAACGAATAGACTTACTAAGCTAGGAATGTATTGTTTTAAACAATTAAACAATGGCCTCAGAGCAGCGAATAGTGTTAATTACAAAACTTTGTACTTCGCGAAAAAAAAGCACGGTTGACGTTGTAATTTACAGACTCAACACCATACAATAGAAAATTAGTTTCCTAGCATCACTACTCGATGACCATGTTTCACCGAGAATATCAGCAGCAGAGATAAGGAGAACATGCCGTTGAGTGGCATACCTTGGGCAATGCAAGAAAAAGTGTTTCACCGATTCAGAGTCAAAACTGCACTCGCAAATAGGCGACACACAACTATTAATTTTGAAGAGATATTCGCTTTGACAAGAGAACCCAAGTCTTAGGCGGGTGTGATCAACAGGTGCACGCCTTGACAAAGAACGATCATATAACCTATTGTAAGTATGCGGAAAGAGAATTGACCGAGTTTTTGCTTTAAAGTGGGAAGAGATACAGAGTTTCGGACATTTAGGTCCAGAGAATTCCAGCCATTGACTGCTGATGGAAAAAAAGACTTTTGAAACGTAGAAGTTCTACAAAGAAGTTGAGTGAAGTATTCTCTTGATCTGAGACGAAAATGTGTACGTTCACTAGATAGTTTGGGCAATAGTTCATTTAAATAACGTGTAGCAAGATTCTTGACTATTTTGTAAAATTGGCTTAATTTAAGTAATTCTCTCCTGATACTAAGAGGCTCCCAAGCAAGTTAATCACGTAACCTCGCAGAGTTGGTTCCCCTAATGGCTCCTGTTACCATCATTGCGGCTTCGTATTGAACATTATCCTGTAAAGATGAATCACGATTATGATAGTTGTTCCAGATAACATCCCCATATTCCATGAGTGGTCTAATCAGGCGTTTGTACAAGTATGTTAAGGTGGATCTATCAACTCTGTATTTGACATATTTCAGCATATTTAATCGTTTAGAGGCTTTCTTGTACATCTTAACTATATGATTTCTCCTCGACATATTACTCTGCAAAGTTAGGCCTAAGTGAGTGTGACACTCAACGTCTTTGACGACCTTGGTGTCAAGAAGTAGAGGCGGGTGATCTTGTTTATTACGCTTGAGAGAACATACAACATTGCGAGATTTAACAGGATTCATAGTAACTAACCATTTGTCAGTCCATTCGGAGATCTTGTGATCGCCAGATTTCAAGGACATTTCAAGCCCGCTAACAATTATCAGCAGTATAGCGTATTACACTCCGGAACAATAGTATATCAAGAGAATTCAATATGGCGGTGATCACGGCTCGATCTGCAAAGAAGCGTGTTTCGTACCATGACTTACACAATTTGAGCACTGCAGATCTTCTATTTGATGAAAAGAAAAAGAAAAGAAGACCTGCAAGTAAATCTTTGGGATTTTTCGAGGCAGAGCGATGACATGATGTCAGAATTTTGATTTGCTTTTATTAAATTTTCGCGCCAAGATGACTGAATTTGGGCTCAACGCCTGGCATATTTTTAAAAGGACCTGAGAACTAATTTATTTACTAGCAAGAACATAAACAAACATGGCCGACGATTCGAAGATCAGCTTTGTTCGTGTTAAACCATTTCAGTCATAGTTTTCAACATGGCGTCTCGTCACTTACTCAACATGTAAATTAGGGATATTCTGGCATGTTGGGAAGTTTTTTAATGGGAGGAAATGGCAATTTTTCAGGATATTTGGACGCTTCGGACTCAGTAGCAGTCAATTCGATCGAGAGCAGTTGACTTCATCGATGCACTTTCCTGTAATAGGCGAGTGTTTGGGATGGAGAACGACGGATTTTGAAGAACTGTATGGCGACTTACTCAGGTTAATTAAGGCCTGGGTCACCCTTTCTTTAACCCATATTTTCACAAAATTGAGAATAACTTAGCTATTTTGCGAGGGATTTTTCTCATACTTGGCAGAAATGTGTATCACTACCATCTCTCTCGGACTGAATTGTGGCAGCGTAATATGATACTCTCAACAGCCAAAAACAATTAATTTAGGCGCCAAATTCGTCGGTTGCTTTCTTGAGCAAATTCCCACTACCAAACACAAGGCAAATCAAAATGCAGTTATCGCTATGAATATTTGAGACGTTTTTCATTGTTTTCCCACTTGGAATGGCTGCCAAAAAAAGAGAGATGTGCTAGGCAGATTAAATCAAGTTTTGTCTCTGCGAAGCTGCTTCCTCTATCATGGTTTTCGCCCGAAAAAATCTTAGCCTTTATCTGGTTCCAACCGCTATCAACGAAAGTAATCCCACAGGTTCCTATTTATTTGGAAAAAAGACAAATTAAAACTGTTTAAGAGGTGGGAATTTCGAAAACTCGCAGTCACGTAATTCGACTTAGTGTCCGCCATTTTGACACGCGAGTCACGCGAGTGTTCAGAAGCAATAATTTAACGGCTGATACACTACCAAATACTAATTGGAGCAATCTCAGAAGTAATACAGGCACACTTTGTATACTGATGATATTTATTTCTTTTTCTCGTTTTCTGAGGTCGATTGCATCTCTGTAAATCCAGGGTTAGATCGCCTTTGACAGTTCTAATAAAACACAATTGCAAATTTGGGCGGTAAGAATAAAGAACGTTTGTAATTTTATCCCAAGTAGTATCATATAACGAGACTGAATTACAATTTTGGCGCAAAACTTGACAGTTATCGCACTGATTCCTTGAAACTCTTCAAGGTTTTGTTCCCTAACAACGGTACTACTCGATAACGAGCTAAGTGTATTCGTGTGAAACGAAAATGTCTGTCATTTTTAATTGTGGATTTGCAAGAGTTGCTGTAAAGGAGAGCTTTCGTAAGGTTGGAAGTGCTTCGCCCTTGCGAACTGAATTCCCAGTTTTCTGGGAATTCCTAGGAATTCCTAGGAATTCTCAAAAATTCCCAATTATGCAAATGACCCTTGCAAACTGAATTCCCAGTTATAACTTAAAGAACATGAAATTTATTACTCAACTAAGTTTTAGTAAATCTTTACATTAATATGGATTTTCTCATGAACCAGCTGTCAGTTATGTTAAATGGAAATTGCCAACTTCCACAATAATTAACAATAATTACATTGTTATCTTACTCCCCTAACCTACATTACTGGTTGCCTTTGTTAGAAAACCTTGGAACAGTCAAGCTCAGTTGCCTCAAACGCTGTCAGAGACTTTTTGTTGACAATACTTTTAGTAGAAATTTCATGCCTTAGACAAACAAATTCAACACCTAATTAATCTTTCTTTTTTCATGATTCTTGTTGCTGCTTTTTTTTTCAGTTTTTTGCTCTATTTTCATGACTAATTGCTGTAATTTGTTTTGCTGTTTTTATTCTTACAAAACATTTTTGTAAGAGTTCCAATACTTGTGGATCATCCACACACTTTGCAAACATTTGGCATGCAGACAAGACAGAGGTAGTCAATGTTCCCTTTGAGGAAAAACACCTTTTATATGACGTCTTCAATTTACTTTATTTGAAACTCTGATCTGAAAATATTTGTCAACAAGACTTGTTAGTAATGAGAAGTACCAACCAAGGTTCCTTTCATAACTTAATTTCTTAAATGTCCCAATCACTGGATCTCCCAAAAAAATATTACATCTTTTTATTTTTGGTGCAAATTACAAGTCTTTCTTATATAAAAATGAAAAGTGCTAGTCACACTTCAATAATAACAGCTCTTAAGTTTACTTGTTGTTCTTCTCTGTCTGTCAGCTATCAACAAAATTGTTTTATACTTCGGGCAGTGCATAACTATTTGTGGACCAGAGTTCCAACGCACCTCTGTAATCGCATATAGCTACTCCTGTCTCTTGTACAAATGTTTCTCCTTTGTAAGACGCACTCTACTCTGTTGTCAATACTGCTTTAAGTTCAGTGGAAACGACTGACTGAGGAATCGAGATGGCGGTGTTGGAACGTGTTGCTGAACGCTTGCTACGGTCAAGCTTTGTAGATTTAGGTACTGGTACACTGGGATCATCTATGTATCTCTTATACTTCCGAATGTGGTGTCCTTCTTTTATAAATATGAGGGTAAAAGACGATTTGTAGTCGCATTCAAAACTGTGATTGGCTTGTGTTATTTCTCACCTTTGCCATTAACACAACTCAAGTGAGTTTCGAGTCTTTGTTTCCTCGACAACTTTCGGCCACAAATCGTGCATTTGTAATACGATCGATTCTTGTCGATTATTTCTACATAGAGTGAGCTCACATCTTTATTTATATCACCAAGCTATCCATCTTCTAGAAGCAGAGAATCGGTCGGAGAATTCAAAATAAAGTTGGGCGCTTCTCTTAACGCTACAATCGGCAAGACAGCGGATTCACTTTGCTAGCCAATGACAAGTCCTAAAAGATCCACGTGATCATGCCCGTGATCGAAAACAAAGAAGACTCCATTTGGCGCTCATCTTTGAATGTACTTTTCATCGGTTGATCGCTTTTCTCAACTGTTTTGCTTAATATAACATTTTTAAAGATAGCTATTATTGTGGTTCAATGGGAAAACGAGAATAGCGTGAGTGTTGTAAAAGAGAAGAAAGTCGTTGGCGCCGTGGAGTTAAAAGAAGGGACAACATTTGACATATGGACTGGTACAAACAAGGGTCGAGTGGCCGTCTGGAGAGCTACGATTTTGAAAGTTTGTGGTGAGTAAAAATTGCGATATTCGTTACGTGATCAAAATCTTATAAAAGAATAGATGTAGCGGGTTGAATTAAGCTTACATAAAGCTCGGCGCAACTGAAACTAGAATAATTCTGAGAATCGAATCGGTCACTTGCATGCCGCAGTTTCTTAAGCTTATGCTTTACAATGAAATAAACCTATCAGTAAGGTTTCAAGATTCCTCTAGTCACGTTTGGGAACATTCAAGATTCATAACAAACCTTTGTACATAAAGAAGCCCTCCTTGGTAAAAACAAAATAATGTATTCAGCCCTTTTTTAGTAAAATCCATGAGAGAGATGTACTAACTCCAATATAAAAGTCACTCAATATAACAGAGATTTCTCAATTTGAGAATCCAATGAATGCCCTTTTCCTCATAGCCATCTTAAAAGCCTGGTCTGAGCTTTAAACATACATATTTTAATATATTTTTTTTTTCAAATTCAGATGTCAAGGAATCCAGATACAAAATGGTCAAGGTTCTTGTTGACAACCTCATTCAAGGCCAACTCATTGTGAGCCCAGGAAAAAAAATACAAACAGTACAAACAGCAGCTAAGTTTGCAGTTTAGGATAACTTCATTCTTAAGATATTGTATTTTATGGAAGAGAATCAACAGATTTTATTCACAATTTGTGTCAAACCAAATTTAATGATTGATTAGAACTATTTTATATGAATAGCTGTAATTGAGGATTAATCCGTATGAAGTTTTCAAGAAAAGAAAAATAAATCAAATTCCATCATAATATTACCACACATTGATGTTAGTAATTAATCAAAAATATTTTACATGTAAGCCTTAATTAAGCTTCTAAATAAATTTCATTGAATACTTGAATTTTAGCTGGGTTTTTTTTAATTTAAAGTATTTATTTTATATCATTAGCCTCAAATTTTTGCTTAAAATTCCCAGTAATTCTTAAACATTCCTAAAAATTCCCAAAAATTCCCAGAAATTCCCAGAAATTCCTAGGAATTTTTTAGATTTACAGCTTTTCAGGGAAAGTCATTGGTTCTCTGAGTTGGAATTCCTAGGAATTCCTAGGAATTCCAAGTCCTGTTGGCTATAAACTTGGAATTTCTGGGAATTTCTAGGAATTTCTAGGAATTTCTAGGTTTTTAGAACCAGAGTTGTTATGGTTGGGAATTCCTAGGAATTCCTAGGAATTCCCAGTCCGAATTTACCGTGAAAATTCACACCTTTATTCCTAGGAATTCCTAGGAAAATCCTAGGAATTCCAAAAGCCATTTCGCAAGGGCGGTTGAAACTAACCCTAGTGAAAAGTGGAAGAACTATCTTGCAGCGTTCGAGGGTGACAGTCAGGAAGTCTTTGCGGTCGAACGTTCCACCTACGTCAAGATATCCAAACAATTTACAGCTCTTTCCGAAAGATGAACTCAAAAGCCAGGGCCCAGTACCAAGACACGTTTTCAATGGTAAACTGGAAAGCTCTTAATACAGCGCAGAAGAAACAGCACACACTGTCAAATTGTGGAGGTTGTCAAGTGCACTATTATGCCATCCATAATTTTTTCCCTAGTGGAGAATTTTTCAAAACCCGAAAACTTTTAAAAAAGGCCCTTATTGAAAGTGGGGTGAAGACACAAAGTAAAGTGAAACCAACGCAAAAAGCCATTAAAACTGCTGTAAAACACATTTATTCAAAAGTGAATGGCCACTTTGAGAAAATATTTAAAATAAGCTTTGCTGAAGCACAAACAAAAGTGAAGGAACTTCAGCTCCAAAAAAAGAAAGACGCAATTGAGAAAAAGCAGCAGCGTCGAGGGAGAGCACGCCAAGAAAAAAATAAAATCCAATGCTAATGTCTAGTCTATCTGGAGGAGGAGTAATGTTTCTAGTTACTTTGCAGTAATTTGCATGCCAAACAATGAGATCAACAAGCTTCACTTTTACTTGTGTTGCAATCTAGCATTTATTTAAGCACACTCTCTACAATATATTTGCCTTCATTTTCCAGTTTTTTAAAAGGAATGCAAGTACCAAATAATCCATTGTAAACTTAATCAATCATACTGAACTTCTTCCAACCAATGGAGAGAATATAATACTGGGAGAAGGATGCTATGGTTGATGCCTTCTGAGACAGTACACACGATTTGATATAAAGGTTGTGGAAAAACAGTCTCTGATGCAGGACACCACAGAGATAATGAAGGAGGCTCACATTATGCAGGCACTTGCACATAAAAATATCCCAACCATAATAGGTGTGCAGCTTCAAAAGCAGCCCATTTCCTTAATAATGGAGTTTAAAGGGGAAGACAATACATCTGTAACAATAAGCAAACTATTGTCTTGTCAGAAAAACAGTGCAACAATACAGAATGTGCAAAGCTAACTCATAACAAATGACTGGTTAATTATTTCACATGATTTGACAGAAGCCCTTTCACATATTCACACAAAAGGCTTTCTTCACTGTGATTTGAAGGCTAATAATTTTCTTGTGAGTAACAAACATGGCTACATCATTGATTTTGGAAAAGCATGCGACAGCTCCTTTCCTCCTGCAAAGAATTAATGAAGCCAGTGATATTTTTTCCCTTGGTAAAATTCTGTTCAAAGTAGGTGTTAAGCAAAACATACCACTTTTGGTTTCCATGGCTCAAGAATGTTTGGATGCCAGCCCTGTAAGAAGACCAACAACAACAGGCATTATGGCAACACTGGCTTCCATAATATCTCACTGAACACTATAAGCTTAAGCAGGGGTTTCACGGGCCTGACACTGGGCAAATTGACTGGCTGGGAACATAATTTTTCCTGCATGTTGTGACTGACATAAATCAGAATCAAAACATATTTTGCCTGCTTCCTTGTACATTTCCCATCACCTCAAAATCTTAATGAAACCTCTGCTTAAGAAAGCAATAATTAACACTCTAATCAGGTAAAGTGACCCTAGCCATGTCACAGCAGGAGTCTTTTTATTGGGCTTTGCAAGGTTAAAATTACAATGTATGTGCATGTCTTTAGCAAGTTTATGTGTGCTCTTGGTCTAAAATAATTTTGTACTTCTGCTTTACAAATTGTGAATGAATGTTAGAGGGACATTTTCAATAATGCACAGATAAGGTGCTCTAGGGTCCATCAGGTACAAATTACTTCATAGGTCATACTCATGTCTATAATTTTACATCGCTGCTAGATAACATACATGTACCAATTTATTTCCCAATTCCTGCCAATTATTGATCTATGAAATTGAATTTAGGCAAGCAACTGGCAGATCAAACTTAAAATTATAAACCAGAGTTTTAACCAGTTAGGCCACCATAGCCTTCTAACAGGAATATTGACTTGGAAGAGCAACAAAAAAAGCAAGAAATACAATTTTAAAATTTTCCTTTCTGACTTTGTAACAAGGGCAACCTATCCTGCTCTTAAGATGGCACATCTTTTATGAGTAGGGCTGAGAAGATGACACATCTTATACCAGTTTGTGTTTGCTCTTGTCGCAAAAAAAAAAAACAGTGCCCCACTTGGGGCAACAGTAAGCACTGGTAATTAATCATGTCTTATCAACAAAGAGAGAAGGCTATAGTCAGAATCATATACATGTATCAGAACTTTTGTGATGCATTTGATTAAAAGATACTCTACTGGTGTAGTGGGTAGAATATTTACATTCAAATAGACACATATATCAATTACAAGTCCATCATTGACAATGATTGTTGCAATTATTACCAGTCAAAACTTAAAAACCAAACTGTTGACTATAATTAAAACTGATATAACATGATTTAAAAACCAAAAAAATGCCTCATAAATAACACCATTAACATGCTTGTAATAAATTAGTTGTGTGGAATAACTGGAAGGACCTCTTCAAGAAAACAAATAGGGATAACAGTAAATAAAACTGGTTTTAATCAAGTAGATTCCCTTTGGAATCTGCAAGGGCTGGCTGGTTTTCTGTGTGAGTAATTAAAATTATTATTATTATTAAATATTTATAGCAATTCAGTAAGGGACCTCGGAATAAACTAACACACATTAATACAGCTTTTTTCCTCTTAGTTTTCAAGGGACAATTTATGACAACACAATCTGCATCTTACATGTCAGCAGTTAAACTTACCTAACAACTGCTTTGGGGGATTACGTTTGTCAGTAAATTCATCTGCTTCTTGGAGAAATTGTTTCCAAAGCATTCAAAAGCCTAAATGATAAACACCATAAGTTTACACATCATGATGTGATAGAGGATTTATTAAGCTAAATTTAATTTCAAAATTGAATGGTATATCCACAATGAAACTTTTTTCTATGCATTTGTTACAAAACATAGTACTTTTTTTCTATGAAAAAGTTGCAAACATTGTAAAACGCTATTGAGCTCTAGAAATGAGCGCTATATTATAAATTCATGTTGCATTGTATTTGCAGTGAAATCAATGAACATGTTGAGAGCGGTGTTTAGAAGTCTTCGTAGGTTCAAAAGGGTTCTCTTTGGCTTTAAGATAGCGATATCATGCCATTTTTTGAGGAAATGAAGATAGCAAAGAAAATGTTATTACCTTCTTTTGATGTCTTCCTCTAGATTGTCGGATTCACCAGCAAAGATGGGAAAATCCAATGCAAAGCCGACACTTCAAAATGGCGGATGCCATTCACGAACTACGCGATCTTGATTCCAAGTAACTATGGTTACTCGCGCAGTCCACGCGAATTCCGCGAACCTTGCTGGGGGGGCACTGGAGGCGAAAATCATTTTTGACCCAGGCCTTATTAACCTGAGTAAGTCAATGGACAATGACAAGCGAACTGCCTCGGGAAGTAAGTGGTTTTTATTTATCGAGTCACTGAGAGGTTTGATGAATAGCAGAATCGGTACTGAGTATGTCTCGATCGAGAGCGGACGGGACCATGAGCTCCTGATAGTTATATTTTAGAAATTTTACAAATTTCCCTATAGTTTCTTATATTATTTGGACGCCTTTATGGACGAAATGCGCAAGCGCAGCCGCCATCTTGTCCAATATTTCTGCCAATGTTAGATCAGAATTAAGGCAACCAACTGATACAGCTGGCTCGTCAACAATTTCAAACAGTTTGGTATCATCGGCATAAATCAAAGGAAGAGAGGCGAAATCATCAGTAATATCACTGATGTAAATAAGAATAGAAGCAGTACTATAAACAAAGACCCTTTAGGGACTCCGGAGTTGACTGTTCGTCAATCAGAGGATTACTCATCTATAACTACCCGCTGCTTTCGGTTAAGCAAATAACTTTCAAACCATTGAAGTAAGGGCGGTTGTACCTAAAGCCTCCAACTTACACAACAAACCAGCATGCCACACCTTATCAAATGCTTTGTTTATATCTAGGAAAACAGCACGTACCTCTCTATTGTACAAAGAAAATCAGTTGGCGGATTGCTGAATCACCAGGTCTGAAACCAGACTGGAGTTTATAAAGAGAAACAATCTCCATCAAAGATTGTTCAAGTAAAAGAAAACAATCCTTTCACAGATTTTGGAAGAACTTGCCAGCAGAGAAACGGGACGGTTATTCACTTTGAGTCAAGGGTTATCATTTTTGAATATAGGAATAACATTTGCAAGCTTCCACTCACTGGGGAACTGACCAAGTGAAAAAGACATATTGATAAAACGAGTGAAATAAACATGAAAACTATCACTGCACATCTTAATAATCCTGTTTCCGATTCCATCATAACCACATGCTTTAGAGGTATCAACGCCTTTCATTAGTTCAAGTACTTGCTATTCTGTAGTAATAAAGTCATACTTGTGATTTCAAATCAAACTCGCGCTAAGGGCTCCTTCCATTTTGAAATCATTTGTACGATTTAAGACTAAGCTGCCCTCCACTCAGTTCAGTTACCGTTACCGTCTCCCCCCCCTCCCCCCTTACAAATGAGGTCGGTCAAATGCCCCTCTATGGCATCTAGTGCATGGGTAAGGTATGACATATTTGGCTGTTTGGTACAACAGATTCTACAACAAGCTAAAGTACCTCTAGTCTCAAGAGACTCTTGCCAATCCGCTTATCAAGACTTGGGCTACACTATTTCACCGCGCATGCGCTGTGCAAGGTGCACTTAAAGAGGGATTGACGCTTGCTAAGGAGATAGTGGAGTACCGCTGGTCCGCTCTAAGAATGAGAAGTGGTATCTGATGGGTGCGGTGAGCTGGGGAATAGGCTGCGCGCGCAAGGGTTGATACGGTATGTATGCTGACATGATGGATCTGAAGTACTGGGTGCAAGACACAATCAATAAGAATTGACATATCTGAAGGTTTCCGGGAGTAGCAGTTACAGATATTTAAATGAGTTGAGCCACTGCTTACGTGAAACCAAATTGATTTACTCTTAGAACCACGTAAATGTTACCTACTCCTGTCAGAGAAATAAAAGGTGATACCATGTGTGTTTGGTTTAATTGACTTCTTTATTGCTTAATTAGGTAACAAATGTCTACTTTCGTTATTTGTTGGATCTCATAATCTACGATCTACAGCATTTAAGAGGTTTCATCAAAATGTTCGTGCCTAGTTTCTCCTGCCGTCCGCTCTCTGTATTTTTTACTTTTCTGACCCCTTTATCCACTGAACAGAGAAGTCCAATGTATCACTTTCGTCAGGATTTCTTTCTAACGAAAACTACCTCTTTCCTCATTGACATTTTTTGAAAATAAAGTTGAAACGTTTACTGATGCAACATGTAACCGGTAATCAAACAATAGAAATTTGATAACAGTAGCATTTTTTTTACATAATTATCACAAAGTACACTTTTTTTTAGCAAAGCAAAATGCCGGCCAAAGGCAACATGAAAGAGAAAAGTTTTGCAACTAACTGTTGGATTAAGGCTTAAGCAGCAATGGGAGAGGATGGGAGGACTGGGAAACCCTCGAGTGCCTTTGATTCCCTTCTGGAAACATCTCAGGGAGTAGAAATGCAAACCCAATGAAGCCTCATTTTAAACGCAAAATTGAAAATTGTTCCAGCGGCTGCTACCTGTGAGTTTAAGATAGGAAATCGTCAAAGGAAAAGTCTTTCAGAAACGGATATTTTTTCATCTGCTCAGTGACCCGCTGTTTTTGTTCTTCGGTCCAAACAATTTTATTTCTTGTGACAGAAGGAGCTCCATACAAGATCTTACTGCATTTTTCTATGTATTCCTCTGAACATGTCACACCTAAATGGTCACATAATTTTTGTAGTGTTTCTTTCGGTCTGAGTATTGTTTCATGTCCTGGAATATCGATAACTGCATCCCCAAACCTTTCTCTGACGCGCTGGCTAGCCTTTGTAAGGTTGAAGTAGAGCTCGATCCAATCCTCCAAAATCACTGATCCCTTCATCTTTTAGTGACAAATAGAAAAAAATGATAACGATAACGACATTGATTATGATTGTGATAACAATAACGAAAATGCAGAGGCAGAAAACGCAGACACAAGGTTTGATAATTCATGACATCATACGAAAACCCAATTCACTAATTGTCTTATTATGCATTTTCTAAACAATGTATCAAAGAAGACCCTTCTCTCTGAGTTTGCAAAAGTTTGAGAACCCCACATGGTCGAGGGACTTGGAAACTAGGTAGGTTTTTTAACTCCGCATGATAACTACAATATCCGCTGCCGATATTGGGTTATCGTACTCACTTCACATGCTATTGTATATCATTTAAATAGTCTCAACCAATCATATTTCTCGTAAAAATTCTAATGTATATCAGAAGTAATGGACTCCTGTGTATATATAATAATGACAATGATGTTACCGCGATAATGAGAATGTTATTTGATATCTTTTCAAATATGATTTATGAACTTACTTTTGCTCCTTCTTCCCTAACATTATCACGCTCGCCTGCACCGCGAAGTACCATGGTAGCGATGTTATCAAATGGGTTTCTGACAATGTGTATGAATTTCATTGGCACTCCTACGTTTTTAGCGATTTCTTCTAACTGCTTGATACTGCCTGGGTCTCGGCTTATAAGCAACGAAGTTCGTCCCCCTTTTTTGTCTCCTATTACCTAAAAGAAAAGTGATAAAGCCAGTAGAGAAAATACATCAAATAAAATGAGGGTGTTCGAACTCAAATTTGAAGTGCAGTTTGGAAAGAGTTTCGCTCTCTGTGTAGGCTATGCTTTTTGTTATTACGTGCAACGAAGCCATAAAGAAACTCGAAAATTCCTTGTGAAACTTCAACTTCTTATCTGGGACAATGCAAGCCTCGTTGAAATATTTTCCCAGGCAGGAACAGATTGTCACTTGTCGAAAGGTTAATTCGCTTAAAATCTTTTTCTTCAGAGCGAAAACATATTTACCATTAAGAAAGATATTAAATGAAGATATCCAGCAAAACTCAAGTTTTTACGATGGCCAATTTACATTATAAACTTAGGAGATATACCTAATTATCTTGTAATACCCGCCACCGATGCAGGTGCATCCTTTTATTCTTTAGGATAAGCTTGGGCTGACTGTGGTATGTGATAGTACCCCATGAGCAATGAAAATCGTCTTCTAATCCTACCTTGATCTTGTTTTTGTATCCACCTTGCCATAGATCTGGAACATTGTATAAGTATGTCAATTCCCCGCCAAGAACTGTCCTTTTTCGGCTTGCCCGTACTCCAAACATAGCTTGCTCGGTAGAAGTCTGGTGAAGATCAAAATATAACTTATATCTTATCAGGTTTTTACTTTGGAACTCTGGCACATTGTACTTTCTCCATTTTTGCAACACATTAAACTCGTGCGGAATAATTATTTCAGGATGAGCATCCAAGATGGCGCCAACCAAACTATGGCTGCTGCGAGGATAACCAATGAACATCACAAAGGTCTCCACTTCATCGTAAGCTTTAAAAAGCTTCTCTGCATAGGAAAGTGAAGGCGCTTCCTCTGAAAAAATCAAATCAAAACAGTCAGTCTTGGAGAGAAGATGAACGCATACTTGTACTGACGGAAGAGAAGGGATTGGGTCGAGACTAGACGCATCCTGTCTAGACCCAGTCTCTACCCCTTCAAATCTCACTTCAGATCGAATTATTAGCTTGAACTTTGATGATGACCTACACTAATGTTGGCGAAACGTCTGTCACCATTACCGAAAAGAGTCCCTCTCAGGACTTCCCTCGCCATGACAGTCAGACTACACGATCAAATTGTTTGCCATATTTTCTGTGCTTCATCGTTTGCGATATTTCCATTTGGGTTTTTTGGTGAAAAAGTATTTCACAGTTACACTTGACCAATTGCAAGTTGACTTTCTGCCATCTCATATCCATATTGCATTCATGGAGTGTTTTCTTAGTACCCTTGGTATTTTTTTCGGGACGATCGCACTTACATTATCGAAAGCTAAATCTCAACGGTCGCTTATTACAAACGACAAAAATATTAAGACCCCTCGGGGAACTCAATGAAGAGAAGATCTGATTTAGCCGGCCTGTAACCGGCCTCTGACTGGCGTCCGATAGGTCGGTTAAAAGGTGGCGCAAGCTTTCCATACCAACCACAGAGCGAGATGAATAAATACCAAATAAATCCTAACATCAGTATGTACATTCCCCTTACTGTTTGCGATACATTTCTTATGTCAATGAT